TATTCAAGGTAAAGCCTGTGGCAAATAAACAGGAAATAAAAATCAAAGAAGTCATCAATGGCAATAAGTATAATGCATAAATCTGGGAACATTTAGGGCATTATTCCAAAATTATTTTAAATAAAATCCAATTTTTAAATTCTTTTTATATTTTTAAAAATTATGTCATGAACTATATAAATTCAATTATGTTCAGAATAAAACAGCTCTTCACTTTATCAAATAGAACATTGCTCAAAGTGAAAGGACTTAGGATTTTCTCATAGAAGTGAGTCATAACTAGAAAGGGGGCTGAACTCATTAAATATTTAAAGCATAAACAGCTTAACATTTGTGGTCTGACAGAATTTATTTGTTCACTTTTTAAAAGACAGATTTCTTAAAACTCTTCTGGTGTCATTTTCTGTGAATGTGGTCAGGTAGTCGTTTTGCTGTTGTCATTGGGCATTTTTTTTTTTTTTAAAAAAGTTTTTGGTCTCTTGGTGGGGCAGGGGTGGGCTAAAGCCATAGAAAGAAAAATGTGATGTATGTATCCAGTATGTACGATTTTGTTTTTGTTTTGCAAGAAGAGTTGAACTATTTTTGATAACAAGAGTAAATGGTGGAAAATGAAATAAAACAAAAACAAAAACGGCCATCATCTAAAGTCAGCCTGCAGACACCCACATCTGAAATCCAGAGATACCCTAACATACCCTGGTGACCGGACTGCTGGAGACATCTTTTTTTATATTCTTTTTTTTTTAAATATTTATTTATTATGTATACAATATTCTGTCTGCATGTATGCCTGAAAGCCAGAAGAGGGCACCAGACCTCATTACAGATGGTTGTGAGCCACCATGTGGTTGCTGGGAATTGAACTCAGGACCTTTGGAAGAGCAGGTGATGCTCTTAACCTCTGAGCCATCTCTCCAGCCCGTGGAGACGTCTTTGAGGAAGATGTCTGTCTGCTCTTTCCTTTAAGGAGTTGGAAGATACAGCTGATTCAAGTGTGGAAGCACAATTCTTAGTTAAGGGAGCCACCTTAGGGTTGGCAAGAGACTTGAACCTAGAGTGGCTCCCAGGTGCCCAAGCCGAGGTCCCCAGTTAGTTCCTTGGGCAGCTGAGGATAGGGAACCTGAAATGACCCTATCCTAGAGCAATACTGACGAATATCTTGCATATCATCATAGAACCTTCATCTGGTGATGGATGGAGACAGAGACAGAGACCCACACTGGAGCACTGGACTGAGCTCCCAAGGTACCGATGAGGAGCAGAAGGAGGGAGAACATGAGCAAAGAAGTCGGGACCACGAGGGGAGCACCCACCCACTGAGACAGTGGAGCTGATCTATTGGGAGCTCACCAAGGCCAGCTGAACTGTGACTGAAAAAGCATGGGATAAAACTGGACTCTCTGAGCATGGCGAACAATGAGGGCTGATGAGAACCCAAGGACAATGGCACGGGGTTTTGAACCTACGTAATGTGCTGGCTTTGTGGGAGCCTAGCCAGTTTGGATGTTCACCTTCCTAGAAGTGGACGGAGGGGGGTGGACCTAGGACTTACCACAGGGCAGGGAAATCTGACTGCTCTTTGGGCTGGAGAGGGAGGGGGAGAGGAGTGGGGGGAGGGGGAGAAGGGTGGGAGGAGGGGGAGAAGGGTGGGAGGAGGGGGAGGGAAAGGGGAGGCTGGGAGGAGGAGGAAATTTGTTTTTTTTTTTCTTTTCTCAATAAAAAAAAAAAGTGTGGAGAATAATTGTTACCTCAGCCACAGATGGGACATTTCTTGTATCACACCCTCTGCGAGTCTCAAGCACCTTCAGGGAAAAGATGAGAAGAGACGGAGATCAGGGAGGAGTGGTGTTAACCGGTGTCTTCTGGATATGGACCATGGAACTCAGGAGCTGGAAGCAGGTGTGGTTGCCTACACAAGACCAGTACAAGGTGAAGCCAAGTTAACCTCCTAGCATGGAGGGAGAAGGGACTCAAGACACACCGTGTGCAATTCTCAGAGAACTCATAAAAGGATGGAAGGCCCATTACACGGGCCAGGCTTCTTCCACGGCTCCACACCACCACCACCACCACCACGGTCATCACAATATCCGCATTGCTGGTGGTGCCACTTAAACAATTCTACTGGTGTAATTCAAACATTTATTTTGTCAGAATCTGTGCTCAGAGATAACATAAAACATGCGGTGAAAAGCCACATGATTTATCCACTCTCTCTGGGTCCTTGAGGAGGTGAATGATTCAGGGTCAAAGCATGCTTCTGCCTGTTGCTCTCTCAGAGGACCCTCCAGGGAGCAGTGGTCACTCCCATTTGATAAGATCAGGACTGGAGCGTTTAGGAGCCCATGTGCTGGGCTGTCCACAAACTCTTACTGTCTCCCACTCTTCCAGCAAGCCCTGCAGTGAGACTGGCCCTGGAGCATGGTGCAAGAGATGGGTGAAACAGAGCATCAAGCCACTGTGTCATGCAGGGTCTGCACCTTTCTCTTTGGGGATGGTGGTAAGGGTTCCTTTCCATCCAGGAGACATCCTGTGCAATTCACACACCTCCCTGACTGTGTGGCCCCTGGAAAGCAGGGTGTCCTTGTCTCTTCCTCACACCCAGCCAGCAGTGTCTGAGGGAAGGTGTGATGAATGCAGCCATCATTTTATCGATTCTCTCTCTCTCTCTCTCTCTCTCTCTCTCTCTCTCTCTTCTCTCCTCTCCTCCTCTCTCTCTCTCTCTCTCTCTCTCTCTCTCTCTCTCTCTCTCTTTCTATTTTGGGAATTGGTAAGAAACCCTGGTCTTTGCAGCCCTCTTTAACAGTACAGGGTGGGGCTAAGTAGGAGGCACCTAGTTGAAAGACTGGGGTGGTACTAAGATGGGGGGAGTCACTGGTACACAACATAACCCAGATCTATCTATCTATCTATCTATCTATCTATCGATCTATCTATCTATCTATCCATCTATTATCTATCTATCTATCTATCCATCCATTATCTATCTATCTATCTATCTATCTATCTATCTATCTATTATCTATCTATTATCTATCTATCTATGTATCTATCATCTATCAATCAATCTATCTATCCATACACCCATCTATCTATCTATCTATCTATCTATCTATCTATCTATCTATCCATGTATCTATCATCCTTTTATTCATTCATTTTTCTCCCTCCCTTCTTCCTTTCCTCCCTCTCCCTTCTCTCCCTCTTTTCCTCTCTCTCCCTCCTCCCCTCCCTCCCCCACCCCTCGAGCTTGGCACTCACTCTTGGTAGTAGACACTCTCTGCAGTTCTTTCCTCAGAACCAAGCACACCAAGTGTAGCCAGGAAACATCCTTTCAAATACATCTCCACATTTACCGTGGGCCAGAAACCAAATGCAAACTCTCTTACTTGCCCTTTAAGACCAGAGGCAGGCTTTCTTTTTTTATTGATATGATTTATTAATTTATTTTTAAAACAATCTTTTATCATTTCAGAGGCTCTTAAGGCATAGTCCTAAGACGTTTGAAAGAGCAGAACGGTTGGACTAAATTTAGCATCCTAACAGCCAGTTGGCATGTATGTAATGAAAGATTTAAACAGAAAGAAATTCAGCCCCAGACAGAGGAGGCAGAGAGGGATGACAAGAGGAGACCTAACAGACAAATACATTTTTAAAAGGTGCTGAAGGAAAAGAAACACAGTTAGCAGCCTTACCATTTCCTTTCTTACCGGCATCTGAGAGGCCTAATTGCTATTCATGGAGTTGCTGACTGAACACGGAATTGCCTAATAGGAGGATGCCTGTCTTTCATGTTGCAATAGCCAATATTTTGCACACTGCCTAGCATATAATAAGGGATAATGAATACATATTGTAAAAGTGAGCATATTGGTGTGTGTGTGTGTGTGTGTGTGTGGAGAGAGAGAGAGAGAGAGAGAGAGAGAGAGATCATCATATCAGAGACTTCTAGACTTGTAGGTAAGACAAAGTTCACTTACACATGTAGGTTAATTTCCAGCATCTTTGGCCAGCCTAACGAGTACTCATTAACTAGTACTCATTAACTAGTACTCAGGGGAGGATGGCCAAAGCCAGTGCTCTCTGCTAACCTGCAAAGGTCTCTCTACCTGACGTAGAAATGCTGCTCTATTTGTTTTATCAACTATGCTTCAAATCAGAGATTCCACAGGGAGTCCCAGTGTGGGTACAAGAGCGTGACTGCCCGGGTGCCATGACAAGGCAGACAACACAGGTACCCCAGAAACTTCCTTCCTCAGGGTCAAGTTAGGCTCCATCCAAGGACTACCTATGCACATCAGAGAAATTTGGGGTTATGGCCGAAGACATCTCACGTCTTTTTAAAAACATGATGGCGATGATTTGTGTGTGTGTACATGTGTGTGCATGCGTACATGTGTGTGTGCATGTTTGTATGCGTGTGTGGGCACACCTAGCACTTTGCATATGTATGTAGATATCAGAAGATAACCCATAGGAAGAAGTCAGTTCTCTCCTCCCCTCACGTGGGTTCTGGGGATCACACTTAGGTCCCCACTCCTGGCGAGCGTCTTTGCTCGCTGGGTCATCTCATCTCTCTCACACCTTGAATGAACACACAGTTAAGAGTCGAACACGGAAGAGACCAAGCACTGTACCTGGGGGCCCGGATAGAATGCAGACATCCGGAACTAGAAGCCCTCCCTTCCCTCAGTCCCCCTTTCTTCATTCCGTGTATCCTAGAGTTACATATGAATTTTACTTTTTTATTTCCTTTAATGGTGTCTTCATGACACCACCGCACAAAAACAGCATGACATGAAGAGGCATTTGGTAGAGTTTAAAGATCTCAGTTGGTTTGAAGCAATTTTCTTTGAAGACATCTATCTCCTTTACTATTCCTGGACTCAAAAAAGTTCTTATGCCTCTAACAATAACAGCACACACATATTCAGGCCTTTTTACATCTCTTTATTAGAAAGAAATGATATTTAGTCAGACAATAATAGCTCTATCATCAGCTAACTTTTCAGTGACATAGTTTTCTGTGACAGACTGGTGACCCAGAGGTCTAACTTACAAAGGAAGTAAAGAGTATGTTTCCGATACCATCCAGGAGACAAAACACAGCGAATTAGGTTCATACCATCCATGAGAAGAAACAGCAAATTAGGGTCAAGTCTGTAGAGAAGGCAACGGGAGGTGGGCCATGGGAGGTGGTGGAAGTGAGCCCACCACCAGGCTTCGAGGCCTGGGCGTAAAGCACTATCCCCCAACAAGTGGGCCGAAGAATATGCTGCGGGCTGATGTGGCTCAGTGGTTGAGCATTTCCAAAGCCGGCTGCAGTTCTCAGGTGACCTGTCCATGGGGAGGTTCTCTTGTGAGCCACCTGAAGACTGAACCCAAGCAAAGAGGAAGGCAGTTGTTGGTCTTTACGCATAGTTGAAGTGACCATTCTGAATTTTGCTATTTTATTATTGTTGTTGTTGATTTTCAATCGCTTCCTCCTTGCTCAGCTGGCTCGAGTCTGACAGGGCAGGCTAAGCACTTCCTAAGTGGGTAGCATTCTTTCAGAAATCTTTCCCTGTCCCACTGCAAACCTCTACCAGTGTATGAATGAGATACTCTCAGGTTGAGAGAGAGAGAGAAAAAGAGAGAGAGAGGACAATGGTGAGAGCCACTCTGAAAGCAGCTGCAGGCTGGGAGGTGGCTGAAGGAGTTGGGATTTTCCTTAGCAAGGTAATCTTTTAGACAAGAACACCTCCTTACATCTCTCTGCAAGATGCTTCTGTCAGTGCAAGTCTTCTCCCCAATGGAAAACCACACTGGCACATCTCAGTTCTTTCTTCACTGACCCTCGCTAACTCAATGTGGAGAATGGTCCCCAAAGGAAAAGTGGGAAGTGACGCTATCATGTCTGTGGGGACTTTACTTGAGCACGCAAGCCAGAGTCCACGGAGTTGGAAAAGAGGCACCTCTCATTGCTACCGTTTGCCCACCTGAAGTCAAACCACTCTTGTAGGCAGGACTGAGGGGCCAGCTTAGTGACTTGGCCCTGAGTGGTGTCATGAAACTTGTCAGTGAAACTCAGGAGTCAGAGGAAAAAACGCTGGAGATAAAACTCAAGAATCGACTAAGACTGTGCCTCGGAGGACCTTCTGTGAGTCTGTAGCTGTGTAAAGCATTTGCTCAGCAAACATTCCCTCCTGCCAGTGCGGGGGGTCTAGCCTGAAGCTCCACAGATCTCCACAGAGTTTCCATCCCTGTGTCTTGTGCGCGTGTGCACATGTGTGTGTGTGTGGAGGGGGCTTGCACATTTTCACATCCACAACTCTGGACTTTTCCCACCTGCTGGGGCTGTGATCTTGAGCACAGAAGTCAGGTCTTGGAACTCCTGTCCTGTTCACTGGCCTCAGGAGAGAGGGCCTTCACACCCCCCTTACCTACGCTCTATCACTCCTTGGGCTAAGGTGGATGGCAACTGATTTTAGCAATAGTGTTAACCCCCTGTGGGCTAGACTCTCACTGCTTACAAAGGTTCCAGGCAGTGCAAACATCAAGACCCCAAAGTCCACAATAAGCCAGGAAAATACTCCCAAACCTCAGGGTAGTTGAAGGAGCACATTAGAGATGTGTTTCATTTTTTAAAAAATGCGTTTTATATGTATACTTATAAGTGTAGCTGTGTGCCTATGTTCTCTGTGCACGTGTCCCTGTTCTATGACATCAGCTGTCATCCCTGGACGACTATCCACCTTTATTTTATGAGACAGAGTCTCTCCCTGGACCCAAGGCTCACGTATTCCATGAGACTATTGCATAGTCTTTCTCTGGGTTTGGGGGGTGGGGCAGGAGGGGCTACGGTCAACACACTCAGCTTTGACGTTGGGGGTGCTACGGTTCAGGCCACCAGATCTCATGTTTGCACGGCAGGCTGACTGAAGCATCTCCCCAGTCTTGAATTTTTAATCTCATCACTGGTCTCTGGCTTGCCTTAATGCAATTTTATAACACACTTTCCTCAAGGTATAACTTTATGAAGAACATTTGACATCTGCCTTTATCGTGGGGTCACCCTACCAAAGTGCTCAGCCGACACAGACATGTAATCCGTCTGCGATTAAGCAGCAGAATACATTATTTCCTCCTTTCTTCGAGGGTTCACTGCCTGGCTGACCATTCCCACTGTGGAACACAGGTGCAAGGGCAGGCTTTTCCTGCGTGGGCTGTCAGGGCTTTAACCAAACTTTATTTGTAATACATGCATGACTTGTCTTGAGAAGTGGGCATAAAAGGGAGAAAATCAAAGAAAACTGAAAAAGAAAGAAAATGAAAAGAAAAGAAAAATAATAAAAAGGAAAAGAAAATACTGTGAAGGCGCTTTTTCCATAGGAAAAAAATATTTTATTTTTTTAAGAACAAATTCAGTTTGAAAGAGACGTGGAATGTGACTGCTCGGATCTCGTCTTCTGGGGCTAACTGTCATGTGGAAGTAAAAGCAGGTTTGGAACCTATGACAGGCTAGGAAAATAAAACAAAGAAAAAAATATTTATAACTCAAGCATAATACTGTGTTACTTACAAATTGGACAACGAAATTAAATAAATATTCATGGTACATAATTACGGCACAAATATGCAGCAATTTGGCAACCTTTTATACCATTTTTTTCCTCATTACAGTGCAAAGGGGGAATGACACTGCCGTTAAACAAGCTGTAGCTAAATACATTGCAAAAATTCAGATTTTATACAAAACATCTCGCTTAGACTTTATAAAAAACCAACATTGCTCTATGTACACAATCTGGGTAAGAAAAGCCATTTCTGTCTTGTTTTCATGTGTATTTTTATTAAAAAGGTGAGTAAGGCTACTGTAACACCCCGAATCCATAGACGGTAAGATCTGGTCTACCTATTTACAGCATCTTCTTACACAGGATGGTGCAAGCTCCCAAGTCAGGTGACCGGGATGGGAATACAAGCAAGGCATTTACAGTAACTTTTCCAAAGCTGAACCAACTCCAAATAAGGGGACAGTTGGTAGATTGTCATCTTCTGCACCAGACACGAAACAGACGCACGGGGTCACTCTTCATCAATTCATCTGATTTTTCACAGTTTAGCATAGGACCAAAAAATGTAGCCAACTGATGACACAGACATTTGATTTCATTAAAATCAGACGGCTTCCCATGTCTCCCCTCCTCATCCCTCTCCTTCCCCGTTCCTACGACTTTTGATGGCTTACCAGAAAATCTTGCGTGAATGCACAGGAGAGGCTGGGGTGACGGAAAGAATTACATATGTACTGTGGCTGATCACCATGGCAACCTTCCACAGAAATATGATATAGATATATATAATATATACTGGAGATATATATTATACATATATGTACACACGTGTACCACACACCCACTCACACATACACATACATTGAACCAACATAATTTTCAGGTTTGGGAAGCAGGGAATGATTTCTGTGACAACTCATTGTTACAGGTACTCACTGGAGGTCTGAGAACCTTCAAATGCTGTCGTTACAATTTTTTTTTCTCCTCCCAATTCAGAAAGCAAAATGTTACCATAGTAACAGGACTCTGTTAAAGATGTCTATTTTGCATAGCACATAAAAAAAAAAGTAGGCTTCCTGCTTCCTGTTTATTCTTCTGGAAGGGCAGGGATAGGAACAGGAGAAGAGGGACCCACAGCTAAACTTTCAACTGTAACTCCCTCAGTGTGACCTGCTGGATTCCAGAGAACACTTCAGCCCATAGGGCAAGGGAAAACCCAACACAGACAGTGAAGGCCAGTCCCTTTGTCTAACATAGGGCACAGTGCACCGATTTCCTGGCGTTTGGGGGCTGGCATTCCTCGTCTACAGTTCCGTGAGATGTCTGCGGGACTTTGTTATTTTCGTCTTCTGTTCTCGTTACTGATAACTTTTTGGGGCGACACAGCTTCTCTCAGAAGTAGCTATCCAATCATTAACTCTGTAAAGCACTAAGGGCTGGGATCGCTTTAATCGCCACGGCTAACGAAATCCCACATCTCCTGGTGTGTATTGTGTGTAATCTTAAAATATATATTAGTAAAAAATCTTTCATTTTATATCCCTTGTGTTCTATACACCTAATATAAATATGTCCTATCTCCCTCCTTCCCCTCGACATCATAACTTACTTCCATCTTAAGGACTCTTAGACATGGGCCATGTGTGCTTTGCTTTGACAACGGAGCCCGGGTACAGCCTCACAGCCCGGACAGCACGGCTGGCCATAACCCAAAAACCAAAGTGTAAGGCTCAATCGGGGAGGGGGAGGGGCACTTATGGGGGCTGGGGAGGGGGGATCTGACCTACCTTTCCTAATGAGAATTCCCCAATAACCTCAGTGGTGATGGACTTACAGCCTGTTTGACCTTTGGCTTTTCAACTTGTAGGTCAGATTTGGCTCTCTGCTAATCTCCTAAATGCTTTCCCTGTGTTTAATAAAATGGGGTAATATAGCAGCTGAGTCTGCTTAGACGATCTCCCAAAGCAGACGGACTCTCCCGCAGCTCCAGGGCTGCGCTTTATTTTATTTTTTTATTGCCAGTACCTCAACAGTCCTGCCCCAGGACTTCGCCAGAGGCCTCTCCTCTCCCTCTGTGCTCTGGCTGGTCCTATCACAACAAATGACCCCTCTGTTCCACAGTGGAAGAGGGATTTTTTGATTCCCTGCTGCCTAGCCGTGTGACGGTGAGTTGGGCACCACTTACCACAGTCTGTGGTCTTCCACCTGCCTCTTTCGGTAAAACCAAAGCACCATCTATCATTTCCTTCTGGCTTCCCCACTATGCTCCAGGGGCAGCAGCCTTGACCTGCAGTGGCTGGAAGCCGGTGGAAACCGGCACCCTTCCCTCGTCTCCACACCTCCCAGGCTTCCCGGCGGACCCAGACTCCAGGAAAGCAGGACTCTGTACCTAATACCCATCTAATTTGATCTTGGTGTAAAGGGTGGAGCCGGGACTCTGCGGTGAGGGTCCCTTAATGATGCAGAATGTGGTGAGGGGTCTGGGGAGGTGTCAGAGCCCTGGCAACAGAAGGAGTGAGTAAGGACTAAACGCTAGAGATCTTTTTGAAAACCTTACTGAGCCCGAGGTCCGAGTGACAAGTCCAGCGTGCACGGCAGGAAACATGGAGGCAGGGGCCGGCCTGGTGCACGGCCTTCTCCTAAGATGCTGCTGCACCTTCCATAGCCTACCGTGTCCTCCCCGGGCTCTGCAGATGCCTGAGAGGCTGGGTGCATGGCTTGGAGGTCCGCGAGGGAACGCGGCAGTCCAAGTGGGAATCTCCTAGCAGTCTTCCAGCTTCCGGGGAGGGTCTGTGGTTCCCCAAGGCCGAAAAGCTACAGACTACAAAACTGTCCAGCTCCAGGCTCTTCCAGGAGGCACCCCGCCCCCACAGCCAGGCTCAGGCAGTCCCTGCGCCCACAACAAGGCGCGAGTTCCCTTGGGAGGCGCAGGTCCCAAGCCTCAGACCTTGTAGTAAATGTTGGCAGGACTCTGTGGGGGCATCTCCTGCACAATGTACACTGGGTGCCCATAGTCCCCGCTGACCTTCTCGTAGTGCGGGCAGAAGACGCTGTCTGCAGTCCTTAGCGGTATGATAACGTCACTGGGTTCCGAGCCGTTATTGTTGCCACCTCGCTTGGGTGTGGCCAGTGTGCTGAGTGACAGCGTGGTCGTGTGCTGCGGAGAGTGTTTGCGGTGCCTCCTGCGGTACTTGAGCAGCAGTACTACCAAGGTGATGATGATGACGATGAAGATGATGCACCCTGATGCGATCCCTGCGAATAAGGCCACTTCGGAACCCAGGAGATTGTTCCCGGAATGCCCCGCACTGTTGCCGTCAGTGCTGGAACCTGTACAAATGTAAGAAGAAGAGCCTGTTACTGTGGTCCTGGGACTGCGCTGTGGCTTGCAGGACCCTCGAAATGCAACGATTAAACATGGCCTACGGTCAACTCACAGGGAGAACTGACAGAGATCAACAGATGAGGTGAAGGAGCTCAAAAGGTCCAACACTCACTCACACACTATCCCCAGTGGCTTTCTTGTCTGTGTCTCCTGCAGCAGAACGGCCGGACAGCCAGCCACGGGCTTCCATAGCCTCAGCACTTCAAGGAGCACCGGACCCAGCAGAAAGAAAGGTGCCTGCTGCCGCCACGGCAGAGTACGGGTGCATCCTTGCCCCGGCCTGGTCTTCCCTCACTCTAGAAGCCGTGTGTCATGTGCATCTTAAAACGCCTGCCTTCCGTAGACAGCCCTGCCTTCCGCAGACAGCCCTGCCTACTAGAAGATATGTGCCAGAAAGGAAGGAGTGATGGGGCCTGGGAAGGGGTTCAATTCGAAACTCGGTTGTATTATTTGATTTACACTTAAAATATATTTGGAAGGCAGCAGACGCTCTGGCATCGAACAGGCTGCTAACCCAAATGTTAGCACTAAAGAATTGCCTGGCACCGTTATCCTATCCATTTATCAATTTGTCACAAGGATTTGACACATCTTGTCATTGAAAGTTAGAAGGAAAAAAAAAACAACAAAACTTCCTTGAGTCTTGGAAAGAGGCATAATATTATGGTGGATCTGAATTCTTGCCACCTCTGAAACCAGCGCAAAGATCCTTACTACAAAGGTGCTGATGTGTGTGCCACATTTTGTGAAGTGGCACAGCACAATGAGCCACAACTGTTGAGAAAATGAGCCCATTTTAGAGGGCATGCTTCGGTCAGTGGGCCCGGTGATAATTTTATTTTACAGAGAATGTGAAAAGCATTAAGGACAGCCACCTGGAAAGTACGCCATTAGGCCACGTTTTCTAAGATTCAGAAAAGGATCGGCGAGGCTCTTTGTGGATTAGATGCAATTAGACAGGGATTAGGGCACGAATTATATACACATTAGCATCAGCTTTGGGATGGCATTGAGGCTGAGCAAGATACAACCTCAGCCAATGAGGACCCGTCTGGCGGAACATTGCTGGTGATTGGCACTTCTGGTGAGCGCCGTTACTGCGACAGTAAGACTTTGATGGGAATGAGTTAGTTGGTTTTAGTGGCAGAGTTAATACTGACTCGGTCTGAGTGAAGTTCCCAGGCATCTGTGCCCACTAGTGAATCCCACTGGCTTGGGATGATGGCGAGGCTTCTCTGCCTCTTGGGGTTCTACAAAAACACAGCCCACAGATACACATCCACACCACCCTGCTGTACCTGGGTTTGGTTTCACAAAGGGACTTGTGGTTGAACTTCTCCCGTTGGTACCAGCTTCTAGCTCTGGACGTCTTGTTGGATCGTTTCTCCTGGTTGATCCAGCAGAGCTTGCATCTACATGAAGAGCAAGCGATTAATCATGGCACCGACATCTGACAATAGCAAGCTTCAGGAGCTGCACAGATATCTCAAGAGGCACGAATAGCAATGAACATAAGACTCTTTATGCAAAGCACTGTGAAATACAAGAATATAACCTTCCTTTTTAATCAGAACGGTTATCCTAGCTATTTCGGAGGTTTAGATTAGGAGGCCATCTGTGGAAACTATAGGGATTCTTGCATTTGGCAGTCGAAGTACTGCAGATGACATTTCAATTTAACTGAGCAAGTTGATTGACTACCATACCGGTCTCTAATTAGAAGAATAATTCTTTCTTTCTGCACAATAGGTTATTCTACATGAAAACGCGGCTCTTGGGCTGTCCAGATTTGAAAATAAAACAAAGATGCAGAGCCAGGGTTTACATACTGGACACTTTGATTTCCCAATCAAAGAGGCATTCTGCATTGTGAAAGAGAAATACACATATCTGTGGCAACATCTGTCTCGCTGACCTGAACTTTTGGAGAGATCTCCAGTAAGAAAAACTGAGCATATCGCTTGGGGGAGGTGGGGGGACTCTGCCAGTGGCTCAAAGTGCAGAGAGGGGGCTGCCTTCAAAACTAAAAAGAGGGGCGACGGTGGCGCTCACCGTCACCCCGGGTGCCACGCTAGCTGGGGGCTACACCCGGTCACAGTGGCTTTCACAAAGCAGCAGATGATCTTTTACCTTGTCCAACCTTCATGAGGATCTTCATGGCTCTTGTCTGGCACACCCCTCCCTCCTGGTTATCCAGGCCCTCCAAAGACCCATTTGATGTAGCTGATTAAAAATAAAATGGACAAAACAAAAAAATAAAGAAAAAATCAGGAAATCAATAGGCCAAGATTACATGAACATGAAATGTCTGAAAACAACTTGAAAAATAAGAATTCACTCTTTGTCACAAGTTTTCTGAATGTATGAGATGCTGAAAGCCGAAAAGAAACAGAAAAATAAACAAAGAGAAATGGATCCTAGAAACATGGCCGCTACATGTAGGCTGCCTGCTCCCAAATGCGCTTAAACATGCCATCCCGTACACGTATGATATAGTATTACTCTACAGGTAAAAGGGACAGTGCCATCCAAAATACCCACGGACTCCTAGGGAGCCAAACCAGAAAGTACTGAAGAGCGAACACAGTCCTTTCAAAACTGGGTAATCAGCTCCCAACACCTGCTTCCTCCACTCCAGACTTCCTGCTTCAAGAACAATTAACTTGATGCTCCCTTTGTCAGGCATCCAAGTCCTGTAAACACTAGCAGGGGAGCCTTCTGACACCCCTTGCTCCCTTCTCCAGCCAGAAATGTGCTGAAGCAGCATGCAGGACTCAGGTCTTCGGAGCCCGCCTTCACATCACCATAGAAGCCCCTGCAAGCTTGTGTTTTTATCAACCCCCGCATCAGCCGCTCCAGCCAAGTTTCCTGCAGGGGAAAACTCCAGCAGAACAGATTTCAGCACACCCCTTTCCCCCGTCTGGGGCTTGTGACAACTTCGATACAATACAGGTGGGGGCAACCAACCACCTTGCCCCAGGCTGGCCAAGTGGATTCCCTTTCCATAACATCCCTTCTACCAATGTGTTCCTGCTACATTGTATCTACACACCCTGCTGTTTGTCCTTAGGCCAGTGATTTCTCTAAATGGCTTCGTAACTCAAGCTGCAAAGAGATGGGCTGTCAGGCTCCGTAATGAGGAGCAGGCTTTCAATTACAGTTCAAGACTGAGTGGAAGGAGAGGCTGGAACGTGCTGGACACTGCTTCCCCTTGAGTTCAAGGGGCAAGGAACAGAAGTGTTTCATATACATTCATGCCTGGAACTTCAATCACCTTCCACTTGGACCATCAAAAGTCCTGTCCACTAGCGCTACACTCGGAAGAGAATGAAAAAGGGGCAGGTGTTCTGGCAACTTCTTTCAACCTGGTTGTTTTGTTTTCCAAGCATGCCATCCCCAAACAGCTCCAAATGCTTTCAGAGTGGGTAGAAGTTTCTAACTGAGGAACTAGACAGGAATTTGTTTCTGCACGCTGGGTTACCAACTTCCAATCTCACTGTTCTCCTAAAAACAAAGGAGCCTCTTGTGCATATAAATATCTCGCCCCTTATCTGAGAGTGTCTGATAACTGTAACTCTTTCCTCGGCTGTTGCTGACGCTTTCAGTTTTCCTGGGAAAACAGGTAAGAGTTGCCATAATAATTTTGTTGGGGTGTTGCAGTAGGTTAAACAGTATCCACTCACAGACTGGAGAAAATGCTCGGCAGATAACTCAGAAGAACTGTCTAGAGATACTGTGTTTCTGAGGATCTAAAAAAGGGCCTCTGCTGCTATTGTTACCATTTTCTCCCGGCTTCCTTCCCCTTCTGCAATAAAAGTAGCTCAGTCTCAGAGCCTGTCTGCTAAGGCTTCTCACAGCATGGGGTCCTCTGAGAACTATTTCTGAAGGGTCCAGGGCACTGCTGAATCTTCAGTTATTGCTTAGAGTTTTCTCCCTTCATTTCAGGAATCAGGATATGTCCCCACATAAAAAAAAGTAGAAAGGTGACCTGTTTCAAGGAACTACTGGTCAAACGTCTAGCTTCCTGAACTTGAGGAGAACACTAAGTTTAGACTCAGGAACTCATAAAGCACTTTGTGCTAAAGTGCATCCTATTGAAAGCTAGTAAACAACTTTTCTTTTCTTGCTAAAAGTTTGAACCCTCATCTGACAAAGGACAGTGATAAGTGAAAGCTGAGCAAGGGGTGGGGAAGACTACAGATCTCTTTGGTGTAATCTCAGAGGGAAAAATCAGATTCAAACTAAAAAGAATACCAAAAGGAAGGCAGGTTAGGAAGCACCACTACCTGCAAGCCCCAGTATCTGCAGGGCTCTGCTGAATTCCACCATGCAGCAGGCACAGGAGGGGAACACACACACACACACACACACACACACACACACAAACACACACACATTTTAATTTGTAGGCCAGTGCTGCTTCGAAGCCAGAATGTTTGTGTTGAGCTCCCCAGGTTTGCCCCAGAGGATGTTCAAACCACCCCCTAGATATAAAGATCGCTAAAGGAAGTCAAATTAAATTTCAGTCTGTGTTTTAGCATCCAGAGACCATAGAACTGTGGGAGGGAGACAGGGCTGCGTAAAATAGAAACCACTTCACAGCTTTAAAATCTGTCCCCTTTTTGACTGACCAAAGAAAGAAAGGAAGGAAAAAAGGAGGAGGGAGGGAGGAAAGAGAGAGGAGAGAAAGGAGAAAGAGAGAGGAAAGAGCCAGAGAGAGGAGGCAGAGAGAGGGAGGAAGAAGGGAGAGGGGGAAAGGAAGAAGGAGACGGAGGGAGGGGGAGAGAGAGGAAGGAAGAGATAGAAAGAAAGAAAGAAAGAAAGGAAGAAAGGAAGAAAGGAAGAGAGAAGGAGGGAGGAGGAGTACTGTATGACTGTATCAGTTTGGTGGGAAGAGTAGAAAAGTCTGGGGTAAGCACAGTATTCTGGACAACGACAGTTTTTCAAAAGTCAGTGGAAGAACCTGGGAAGAACTTATTTCTACCAGTTGTTTGTTAGAAATGGCACATTGTATGATACTGTTGCAAGGGCCACTGTGAAAGGTGATGGCCACAAGGAAGGGTGGATTAGGAAACTTGTAGGGTACTTGTGACACCTGTGTCTTTGAACATGTCAGATCTCTTCCCAGTCAGAGACAACTGAGGTGGTCGAATCTGTGCTACATGTGGGGGACACCATCCAGGACCTGGGGCTGGGGTCCCTGACACATTGGGCTGGGTGATTGGGGGGAGAGAAAACATGCCGCTTCCTGATTCTCTGAGAGGGGAGCAAGCAGTTTCATGCACGGTGGCATGTGACTGTCTACCCCCACCGTAGCCTGTATCCCTGTAAACTGCAAGCCAAGAGCAAGCCTTCCTCATCTGAGCAGCCTTTGCCACAGCAACAGAACTGGATACAGCTAGGAACAAGGTGTCATGGAAAAACCCATTTTCAGATGTCTGCGCCAACAGAAACTTCAGAAGGTTATATAATCTTTAGGAGTGTAACATGGTAGAGAGAAGCCTTATGAGATACGAGCCATAGATCTGATGTAAATTCGATTTTCTACATAGGCAGAGTAATTCTTACTCCAGAGGACCTGCCCCAGCTGGAAGAATGGCCCCATGTTCTGTCCTGATCGCACCTCCTCCTTCCTGGCCAGGGACTACTGAAATACACCAAAGGTTAGTATTCTGATATTTCCCCCATCAACCTAGGACCTAGAAGCTTCAGAAAGCTCGGCACTGATTTTGAAACATAACAAGAGAATTGCTAATATGTAGGAATAAAGACTATTTCCATTTCTTTAGGTAGTTTTGCAACTGTATCATTCATGTGAATGCCCCAGGGAATTTTTAACTTAAAGAATAAAAATAAACGTTACCTCACTATGCTTAGCTTTCCTCTGTATCAACCCCACCAGCATGACCTAATGTGGCCACGATCATTGGGTAAGACTGCATTCAGTCACAGAGAGACAGGAAATATAACCTAGGCTTCTATGTAATGTCCAGACATTTCTCTCCCTTGGCCTCATTGCAGGTGAAATATACTTTATAAAATTAAAGTACTTGAAGTTTCTCTATCCATTTGGGAGGTAGGCTTAATAAAGACATTTTACAGATGCCATTTTATGACTGGGTTTTAAAAGCTTTTGCACCTTGGGTCTAACTCAGAGGGCACGGACAACACCACTACACTGCCCTGTCTTCTCCACAGTCACCGCTCAACAGAAAAGCACCCTGACTGGGTGTGGCATCCATGCCTGCAATCCTAGTGCTGGGAAGACTAAGATGTGGGGGTCGAGGGTTTGAGGTCAGTGCGGGCAATGCAGGCAGACTCTCTCTTAAAACAAAAGCAAAGCAAACGTTCAGAGTTTGAGATGCCCGCGGTTCCAACTATCTGCAGCTCCTACTGGGCGGTGATCCTGGTAGATGAACACAAACAGAGCTACAGAGGTGGGGGCTGGGAAAATAGACGCCATAGACAGAATAGTCCTGACAGAGAGAGGAACGCCACATGCTCTGCTCCCTCCCAGAAGGCCAAGCTGCAGCGGCTGCAGTTGGATGGAGCCCAGTGCGTAAGAGTGGGCTCCTCAGAGGGAGGCCTTGTTCCCACAGAGGCTGGCAAGGGAGGAGCCAAATATTCTGCAGCTCAGTACCATCCCACAAAGGCCACAGCTTAGGGTCCTATGGCAGGATGGTGTCCGAATGCCTAGTCACACCACGGAGGATGGGTCAAACTATTTTAAGTGGCTTACGAGAGCCATGACATCTGAAAGCAAATATAATAATTAACGAGAGGGAGTTCATGATAAGTGTATGGGGTCAGGAAAACCACAGACACTCTGCCTTACATGGGGCTGACCTTGATGGCACACCTTTGATCAACAAACAGCCAGCATTCTCTGAGAATTCCCTGCCACCACCAAATCTATCCACGCTGTGCTCGCCCAGCCTGCGTCACACACTGGCCACACCAACCCTGCTCTCCTGGATGAGATTTCCTATACACCCTTCCACCAAGCTCAGCACAGGCGTCGGAGGAACCAGCAGCAGGCTAACTGGCAAACTCAAGAAGCATCATCCAGGGCTGGAGAGATGGCTCAGAGGTTAAGAGCATTGCCTGCTCTTCCAAAGGTCCTGAGTTCAATTCCCAGCAACCACATGGTGGCTCACAACCATCTGTAATGGGGTCTGGTGCTCTCTTCTGGACTGCAGGCATACACAGAGACAGAATGTTGT